GAGAGAGAGAGAGAGAGAGAGAGAGAGAGAGAGTGTGTGTGTGTGTACCAGAGAGAGAGAGAGAGAGAGAGAGAGAGAGTGTGTTATACAGTCTGATGGTCCGAGGTCAAACTTTGATTGGTTGAATGTTGAATCCAACAGTTTGAGGAAGGCTCATTCCTGTTTCAACATGCCCTTGCTCACAAAGTCGGGTCCATAAAGAAATGTGAGCTTTGTGTGGAAGAACTGTGCTGACTGAGCTCAACCCCGTCCAACACCTGTGGGATTAACACAGACGCAGAGCCAGGCCTTAGTGATACGGGTTTTACATTTACACTGAAGACAGCGCTGCTATCACATACCCTGAGAACTCATATTTGGGAGAAATGAGTCAGATCAGTGGAAGTCAGATTCTACTTTTGGCCACATTGTGTATATTGAAACAGTTCACACAAACAGATTTCATCAGAAAACCAGAGTTGAGCCCCGAGCGTCCCACCCAGCACCGCTGCTGCCCGGCTGACTCAGTCTGATCTTTACTGCTCATTCAGCTTCTGGCAACAGCAGGAGGAAGAAACCTGGACAAAAGATTAATGGACCCAACATTAAAAGATTTTTCCTTTTCTTTTCCCTCCATCCTCTGTTTGCTGCTCTCGTTTTTCATTAGAGAGAGTTCATAGAGTGAGTGTGTGTGTGTGTGTGTGTGTGTGTGTGTGTGTGTGTGAGAGAGAGTGTCAGTTTAAAACCCAATTTAAAAAATAGGTTAATCTGTCAATCACAACCTGCTCTGTAAGCTTGCTGTGTTTCACCTTCTACCTAAACCGGACACAAATTATAGGACTGAAACTGTCTCTGAGTGTGTTTGAGTGTGTTTGAGTGTGTTTGAGTGTGTGTGTGTGTGTCCTTACCAGCAAGATGCTGTTGAGAAATCATGGCGTTAAAAAGTCCAGGCAGCAGAACAAAGGAAGAATATGTCTGGTGGGATTAGTGGTGTTGAAGTCGCACAGTGTGAGCTGATGATTGCTTTTTTTTTTTTTTGTGCTCTGAATGTGCAGATGTGTTCTGGGTACAGAATTCAGTTTTGTGCCCTCGGTCCGTTGATCCAGTCAGACACGTTCACTGGCATTTAGACATAAATATGGACACCGAGGTGAGTCTGGGTGGAAGAGACGAGTCAGAGGAAATTTAAACCTGAAACAACAACTTGGATTGGTGGGATGTTGTTAATTTAGTTTCCTTTATTGACATCTTTACTTTTTCTTTGTTTTCTAATGTGATTGGCCTTTTCAACGAGCATTAATAACCATCAAGTACTGCAAGTTAGATAAATGTTTGCTCCTTTTCTTACTAATTCTTTGATTCAATATGTCCTCATTTAAAGACTAATACTGCTGGTTATATGATGTATTTCATGTAGGCAGCGTCTGTGTGCAGATGATATGTCTTATAAAGATTTGTAGAACTAAATGTTTTGGTATCTGTACTACATCAACACGAGTATCTAAGCATTTTAAACAGTCCTCTGCCCTATTTATATGAGTTGAAAGCACATTCAAAATAGCGTTTCCAGTTTATCTTGGTTGAGTTGTCAACTTGTCATTTAAAAAAAAAAAAAAACTGATACAAATTTCCATCAAAACAAAGCAAACTCCCAGTGAATGTGAGAGCTGACAGTTATTGTGGGACTTGTTTTTGAGGTCTGCTGTTCGTCTGTCAGGACTGAGACACTCTCCTCCCTCTTTGTGTTTTTATGAAACCGGTACCAAGTCTGCTCAGTGAGGAAATCACTTGTTATTGTCTGTGTTATGCAGATGAATGCAGACGTGGTGTCACCGCAGCGAGCCCGAACATCTGTGTGTGACTGTGAACATATTGGTGTGGGCTGATCCTTTGTGGTTGCGAGGTGGCCAGTCAATCATCTTATGGCGGACTCGAGCGTGCATGTGTGGGCACGCTGTAAAGCTCGACGTGATGTCCGTCTGTGACAGGTGTTAATTATCAGTTTGTAGTGTTGTATCGGTGTCTGTCTGTCTGTCTGTCTGTGGCTCAGCACAGACAGACAGACAGACAGATGACAAACAATGGGCCGGTTGGGTTCGGGCTGGACTGAAGTCGTCTTGAATTAGACAACTAGCCACACTCTAAAAAATAAACAAAAATAACTTATTATGAATGTTTAAAACAGTTACTTTATTGAAATGTTGTTATTTGTCATCATTAGTTTAGCAGGTTTTTGGTCATAAATGACTGATTATCCCTACAGACTATAAAGTTTCATTACAATCCATTAAAGTTTTATTACAATCCATTAAAGTTTGCAGACTGACGGACTAAAGAAATACTAATTGTGATGTGTTCTTAAGATGTGTCACCTGAAAAGACGTTTGGATCTGCATATTCTTCCTTTTTAAACAGATACTGTTCAGCAGTACACAATGATCATAACGTTGACTCAAAACAGGAGTCAGGCGCCAGTTTTTTTCCTCTTTGCCGGCTACATGAACGGATGTCCAGGATTTGCGTGTGACTCTCGCGTGTGGCACCAGCTCCGGTTAGCCGTCTGCAGAAATTTGGCTCCTCTTCCCCCGTCAGGCTGTCATTCCATCGGTGGAGGGATTAGTGTGGTTTTGTGTCTCCCAATGAATTCATCTACTGGGGGTTTTTAAGTATTTAAGCAGTGAGTTAGGGATGAGAGTAATCTTGGGGAGACACTCACTCAATCCTCAGGGGAGATACGTCTCCCTTCATTTAGGGATCGTCACTGGAGAGGACTGATAGCAGTGGGCAGAGAGTCGAGCTCAGACCAGAGGCGGCAGGAGAAGAAATATGGGGAATGTGATTGGAATTAAAGTGAGGAAGAGTTAAACCCAGAAATAGTGTGAATGTTGGTTTGTTTCAGTTTTTGTGGATGGAGACGGGGGGCTAAGATCAGGCAGATAGAGGGGTGGGATTAGGAGGCATGAATGGATATTAAAAATGCAACAGCCTGGGTGACATTTAATTTGGTAGTCATATTTTTTATGGGGTGTGAGGCGATCCTCTCTGGAAGGATTTTCACATCTGTAATTAATGAAATGTTACATTTTCACACCAGTTTTGTTCAGATATATATTATTGAACATCCTCTTGGCAAAAAGGGAATGAAACATTACGACCTCTGATGGCAAATTTTGAATTGATACATTTAAACCTACGAGGATGAGCAGCACCTCCCTCACCGCCGCTTGGTACAATTACCATACAGAGATTTCTTTACTGTCTGATGGGAGAGATAAGGGAAACTCTCTGCCTTAGGTAGGATATTATTTCTACATATTTCACTGACTGAATCTGCAGCTCAGGCACAACCATCAACATACTCCAAATCATTTGTCTTAGTTAATTATGAATTTGGGTTGTGTTGGGGCTACAAGTCGCTGATAAGGGCCTAAAGCCTAGACCAGATATATTTTTCCTATTGCTCCAGTTTTTTATCACTCAGCTGAAACTGGGAGTACACATACAGAGTTTGCACAACAATATATTTCCAGTCACATCTATTTCTTTTCCACAGTCGGTGCTCAAACACTGTCTGATATTGAGATAATCTTCTGTTGAAAGTTAGGATTTAGTGACATCTAGTGGTGAAGTTGCAGATTGCAACCAACTGAATACTGCTCGCTTCAACTAAGCATGAAGTAGAAACTACAGCAGCCGCAAAAAACATGAATAGGCCCCATCTAGAGCCAGTGTTTAGTTTGTCCGTTCTGGGCTACTGTAGAAACATAGTGATTCAACATGGCGGCCTTCGTAAAAGAAAAGCTCGCTCTCCAGGTAAAAACGACTCACGCTAAGGTAACAAAAACACCACAATCCTTATTTTCAGGTGGTTATACAGTAACGAACACACAGTTATGAGAATTATATTCCATTTCTGACAATAGATCCTCCTTAATGTTATAAACTGAAGTAATAAACTAGATTTAATCTAAAAATTAAGCCATTTTGACGATCGGCCAAACTCTTATAAACATTTTATTAATTAAATCATAAACAGATAATCCGATAAATAATCCTCAACTAAACATCTGGAAAAATAGTCATTTCTGCCATATTCACCATTTTTTACAGCATCAGCAGCATGTCTGCAGAATTGCAAAATATCACTAAATGAGCTCAGAGATATTCAAAGAGTCCGTTTAGATTTAATTTATGTTGAGTTTTAAGTGATTCACTCATTTCTGCTCTTTCAGGACTCAAATGTGTTTCACTCTGTTAAAAAAAAATAATAAAAACACCTGACAGGAGAGAAGTTGCTGCTAATCAGCACATTTTCCCCAGCACACTCAGAGTGAAGTAGATGTACCTTGAAGGTCACCTCTCTGTGGACAGATTGAAAGAGTGTGTGTGTGTGTGT